TATTTATTTAATCATTTATTTATTTATATTGTGTACTGTTGAATGTTTTCTTGTTAATTTATCCTTTATTTACTTATGTATTGTCCGTTGGTTTGTTTGCTATCTATGCGTCAGTGAAAAAGGCTGAATTGCTACCTGAGCAAAATGCCATGTGACCCCAGTAATAACTAGCCGGTTGTTCTTCCGGTGTCACAGTCTAACTCCTCCGTGAAGAAGAAGCAACGAAGAAGACACCGACCTGCTCTGAAAAATTCAAAATCATGGTTAGTACGTCTTGAAACTATATTTAGATCATATATGTCTTTGTTTTCTTGAAGACTTTTGCTAGTCTGATCACTGTGTTGTTTTTATTTTATATGAAGAGGTATAATAAGGCTAAATAGCTGAATGCTAACGTTAGCGTCAATGTGGTGGACGTTTGAGCAGCTGCAGAAAATAAACCTCAATGCCACTGAGACTGATAAAGATAAGATGTACTGCTACATAGCTCTTTGTATATTTCACAGTTATTAAACTACTTCCTTATCGCTTTGAACCAATGTCGATTTACAGCTAATGTTCATGAAGATTCAGCTCTAGGCTCAGGTGTGCGCAGTACTCAGATGATGTACTTAATTAGCAATGCTAACGTGACAAAGTACTCTGTAAAAGTCATGCATTCAAATTAGTACTATCGTATTTGTATCCATATATACTTTAAGTACCAACAACTTGTTATGCGCAATGGGCCATTCAAGCACTATATATTTTAATTATTGTATTATAGTTATTGATGCATTTGTATGTTCTTCTCTTCAATGTTGCACTTGTGTGGGCTTTATTGGATGTCTTTTTATACTAGTGGGTAGCTTAACCTATAAACTATATAATCATGTATCAGTTAATTTATATTCTGTTAATAATATGTAACTTTACCTGTAAAATAATTGTAGAGGAGTAAAAAGAACAATATTTGCCTACAAAATGTATTGCAGTAAAAGTATAAAGTAGCATACTGTGAAAATACACAAGTAAAGTACCTCCATTTTTACTTAAAGGGGACCTATGAGGACCACCTCATGCAAAATGCACTTTTTGATGTCTTTTATACATACATATGTGTGTCAGGGAACTCACACAGCGTCAGAAAATAAAACCCTCTCTCTTTTCCTCCGTACCCAAATCTCTAAAAACGGGGCTACAACGAGCGGATACAGATTTGCTGCCGATATAACGTAATTTCGGATGGTGGACCTACAGATACATACATACATTCGCGGATACAAGCGGCCGAGATGGGTTTTCTCCGTAGGGTGGCTGGTGTCTCCCTTAGGGATAAGGTGGGAAGTTCGGTCATCCGGGAGGGACTCGGAGTTGAACCGCTCCTCCATCGCGTCGAAAGGAGCCAGTTGAGGTGGTTCGGGCACCTAGTTAGGATGCCACCTGGGCGCCTCCCTAGGGAGGTGTTCCAGGCACGTCCAGCTGGGAAGAGACCAAGGGGTAGACCTAGAACCAGGTGGAGGGATTATATCTCTTCGCTGGCCTGGGAGCGCCTTGGGATCCCCCAGTCAGAGCTGGTTGATGTGGCCAGGGAAAGGAACGTTTGGGGCTCTCTGCTGGAACTGCTACCTCCGAGACCCGACCACGGATTTCCTTTCCCTGGCCACATCAACCAGCTCTGACTGGGGGATCCCAAGGCGNTCTGACTTTTTTCTCAGAACAAAAAAAAAACGTTTTTTTTTTCAAATCCTCCCAAAAAAAGAATCATGTGGCCCTAATCCTCTTCCGTACACATGTTCTACTTTACAGTATTAAAGTTATTCTTCATCTTATTCTATGCTATATGTATATCTTGTTTTCTTATTTTTCCATTTTATTTGCATAATTATGCTGCTTGCACTATTTTATTTATGTTTATATCTTTAAGGTAGTGTAGATAAGAATGGAGAAACCAGCAAGTACGCAGCCATAAGTAATCTGCCCCTTCATTCAGACTTCCTTACAGAGCCCCTCCTCCAACACACACAAACGCGCGCATGACCAATGAGGGCACGAGATAAATCGTTGCACAGAAAGGCTGACAGGCATGTAGGCCATCCAGTTACTTTAGCCGGGCCGGCTCAGATGATTGGTCGCGCTTTTTACAGCGCCACGGCTTCCACAGATGACATTTTTTTAATGTTTTTATTGCTATCGGGATGTTAAGAGCATTCCATGGAATATAACAAAAAATGTTTCTGAAGTGAATTACCTACCCCACCTTTAAGTATAGTCATCAAAGCAGTGCCATTAACTTTGTTACAGCAAATAAAGGGGAAAAAGAGTAGACTAACACATTCCTAAAATAGAATCCAATAAGTACACATCAATGGTAAATAAATAAGCAGCAGCATAATTAAAAAGTTGTTGAACATATAAAAACCATATACAAGTCATGAAGTATGTGTGTTGCATTGCTGGACTTAAGAGCTTCATGACAAAACTTGCTGTTGACATCCGACAATGAAACCTTTCAATCTTCTCACTTTGAATATAAGAAGTTAGAATATAGATATAGCATATTTGACCTGTACATTGAGTTAAAACGATTGAACTATATCATCAGCTGTACAGATTTCCCATCTTTAAAGGATACGTTTCGACTGTAGTTCTCATTATGTGCTGCTGTATGCACAGTTTTCTTTTCGTATACATATTGTTTGGAATACAACAAATACAAGATAGCCATAGGGGAAAAATAGCGTGTAACAACATTTGGCCAGTATAGCTTCTTTTATGTCTCTCCTAGTTGTTTAAAATTCCTTTCAGGGAGGTGTGTGTAATTCATTCAGGGATAGAAACCCTCTCCACTGAAGGCAATTGATTTCAGCTCAGTTAGAACCCGGTACAAGGGTGCCTCCTATACACCTCTCTAGGTGATATTTCCATCTTAAACAGTGGATCTGCTTTTTCAACATTAGATTTCCTCTACCCCTGATCCCCTGCGTCTTTCTGGCTCACACCAACTTTTTTCTACCCGGCTTAAAAAAAAGTCTAGCAGAAGTAACTTTCTCTCAGTCAGGCGAGGCTAGATCTGAATCTGTCTGGCCCATACTGAGTGATTTATCTCCGCACTGCGTGTGTGTGTGTGTGTGTGTGTGTGTGTGTGTGTGTGTGTGTGTGTGTGTGTGTGTGTGTGTGTGTGTGTGTGTGTGTGTGTGTGTGTGTGTGTGTGTGTGTGTGTGTGTGTGTGTGTGTGTGTGTGTGTGTGTGTGTGTGTGTGTGTGTGTGTGTGTGTGTGTGTGTGTGTGTGTGTGTGTGTGTGTGTGTGTGTGTGTGTGTGTGTGTGTGTGTGTGTGTGTGTGTGTGTGTGTGTGTGTTTTTTATTTCAGCACTCTCAATGTAAAAGGCCATGGTGAGGTACTTCCAGCTTTAAAGTCAACAGTTTGACAGTGGTTTTGTGCCCTGCAGCTTATGTCACTAATCAACAGCAATGCAATTCCACTCTTTAAATTGTTTTCTTTTTCTTTCTCTTTCCGTCTGTCTGTCTCTTTTTCTCGCCCACACTCTCTCTTTCCTTTTTCAAATGACCAACTGAGAATCCGTTGATTAAGTCTCATAGATTTTAATATTTTACGCAGCATTTATTCGTCCCTCACCATTGTTTTCTCCTCTTCTCTGCCTCTCTCTCTCTCTCTCTCTCTCTCTCTCTCTCTCTCTCTCTCTGCGGGTCTCCAGGTTGGACGTTTTTTTCTTCCTCACATTTTTTCTCCCACTCATCCTCTCTTTGTTTTGACGTCCTGTAGTTGGCTGTTTTCCCTTGGATCATCCCTTAGTCATAAATCACTGTCACCCCACTTCTAGAAGCGGGAAACCAGCTGCCAGCATCAACAATTCAGTGCTTGTGTGTGCCCGTGTGAGTGTGTGAGTGTGTGAGTGTGTGTCTGTGTGAGCGAAAGAGGGAGAGAAATGAAGAGAATATTTCAAAGTGCTCACCATCTCAGTGAGCATGCATTTCACTGGGCTTGTTTGTGGACCCTTCATCTCTCAATACATCTGCACACATCCATGCTGTGAATATTCTGCTACGCGCCTATTTGTGTGTTTAGATGCCCTTGACCAAAACTGAGGGATGAGGTTCGCTGGACTGTATCTGATATGAACATTATTGCTGGCTGGAGGTAACACACAGCTCTGCATTGTATTGTAGTGCCGGCTGTGGTCACAAAATATGAGTATAAAAGCAAAAAAATGACAGAAATAAGGAAATAAAAAATCCGTAGAATACAAACGTGCTCACAAGGGACACAAACGTTGTCATTGTGCTCACAAGGTCGTCAAAGATATGTGAAATCAGAAGTTTTATTTCTGAATTCGTCATAAACGTAATTGCCTTTATGTCAAGCTACATTGATTGTTGTTATTGTCCCAGAGTCAAATTAGTATTCACAGCTTGCATACAGTATGTTCATGTCTTAATTGAACAATGTACAAATACACGTGTATACCTGGACACTGGCTCAAGTGTATATATATATAGTTTTACTCCAACATTCATGCCTGTTGCACCTGTTTACACAGATCCAATACAGTCAACTTGACTACATTCTTAAAGTGACATGTCTGGCATTGTTGTTATACTATACATCATTATCATCATTCATGGGATTTTATTTAGCGTTGGTACTTCAGATGCTGGTCTCTTTTGTAGGTCCGTTTTCTTCCTAAACTGTTTAAATGCCAAATGAAAATGAATATTCCGCTAATGTTCCTGTTAACATGCAGTCGTGCGTACGCCCATTGACGTTTTTCATCAGTGTCAGGCTTGTTCAAACACGTAAACACTGCCCCCTTAATTCTTTCCATCTACCACTTTCTTTAAAAGGTCTGCTTGCAATATTTTTGCATCTCCACAAAAATAAGTGTTTCAAAATGTTAAAAAGTAGGTCCATTTCTCCTTACAACCAGAATGTGGGCTTTTCTTTTAGGCTTGCATCCGAACCTCAGCCTCGGAGCTAGGTTGGCTAGTACAATGCACAAAGATGGTCATAAACAGGCAAGAGGTGGTGTGTCACTAATCACCCTGACATCTCCCAAAAGCACTGTATTAGAAGACACAATATTGGCATGTCCAACACGTCTTAAAGGGAAAATTGCTACATTTTGTATAAAGCCTTAGTTCAATAATTCAAGCGAAATACAAATGACCTGTATCCAATGTGAGATATCGTCAATAATAGTGGAATTTTAGTAGGAATTCAAATGTAGTCAATAATATCTCCACTGTATTAACACTCTCAGATTGTAACACAGGCTTGATATGATCATTTACAATCTTCAAGCCCATGCCAAGATAACCCCGATGACCACATCTGAGGCAACCCATAAACCTTTCTGTGATTATGTTCACTGTCTGGAGGACTGACACGTCCCTGACTTCTGGTCTTCTGTCTCTCAGTCAGGTGTTTCCACATGGCCTGCCTGAGGAGTTCACCCTCATCTTCACCCTGGCGTTAAAGAGGGCTGCCCTGGGAGACACCATCTACCTCTTCCAGATCTCTGATCAGCAGGGATACCCACAGGTGCACCCCCCCCCCCCACCTCATATTCCTTTGCCCTCTTCCTCCATCTCTAACCATCCATCAATCCTTTTGTCTACTCATTCTTCCTGTCTCTCATCTCTCTTTTGCATAGTCATCCACTTTCCCCTTCGATTTCTTCTCTCTCGTGACACCTTTTCAATTCTCTCCCCCTTTCATACCCTGCGTCTTTTGTCCTCTCTTTATTCTTCATCCGAGTCCCCATCTGACTGGCTCCCCCGTCCCTCCGTCGCTCCTCCCTCCATCATCTTCTGCTCTCATTCATTCACCTTCATTGTTATTCATACGTGTTCCATGATGAAGCACTGGAGTCCCTCAGAGTCCCCATAATCACTGGGAGTCTGAGGCCAGATTGAAATACTCAATGTGTATGATGGATGAAGGCCAGGTCTCCTCATTAGGAGTGATCGATCGGCTGTACTGCATGCGTGTGTAATTAATATGTCTTCCCTTTTACTTCATCTCTGTTACTGTGTTACTTGGTTGGCTGGTAGCAGCTTTTAATTATCACTCTTTTATGGGAGCAACATCTTAAGATAGAGTTCATTTCTATTATGCATTGTCATATTGTTTGGTGTTTTAATTAGCGCTTGTGTCAAACCCCCAGTTCTCTGTAGACCTCAACGGACCCGATGGCACCCTGTCCCTGCGCTCCAGGGGGGTAGACCCCACAGCTGAACAGGTGAGCTGCGTGTTCACCGGAGAGGGAGTGGAGGCACTGATGGACTTGAGCTGGCACAAGGTAGCCCTCAGCGTGCAACATGGAGCCGCTTCCCTGCATGTGGATTGCCACTCCATTGAGACCAAACCCATGGAGCCCCGCGGGGTCCTGCCCACCGACGGACACACGCTGCTGGGCCTTCGGGCTTCAGATGCTGGGCCTGTACAGGTACGACTCAGTGGAGAAAGAAAATACTGGAAATGCAAGGAGATTTTGTGCGGGCTTCTGGTAAAATATTCTGTGCATGTTTGCCCTATCTTTGCTATTGAAGAGCTTTTGAACAAGATTAAGCTCCACAATGTAAATGTCATCTAAACTTGATTTTTGAAAGTGCGGTGACCTAAAGGTCCCTCTCTGTTCGAAGAGCAAACGGTTACTTATCTGCTTCAGAAGTGTTTTGAATGAACAAAATGCCCTTATTGGGACCTCTGCCATAGAGCATGGTGTGGCAGTGCTTTGTTGCATTAGGTAATCCACTTTACCTATGGCATTAAGAATTTAACAAACCAGGCTTTTTCTGAACCTCCCTGTTTCCAGCAGGAAGGACAGAGTGAAATACTTTTAGTAAACAAACCTCCCATAAAAGCCGTTCAATTATTTGTCTGTGTGTGTGCATTTTGAGACCATAGGCTATGGCCCTGAGGTGCTTTTTGCTTTGAGGCAATCTCTTTCACTCCTGATTTAAAAAAAGTGAGCATACTACCTGGGAGAATGGACCTGTAGTGAGCTAAGGCTATTAACGCTGAATTGATTTGGTAATCCAGGCACTTAGTTTGATGATCAATTAACCGGCCTAGTTATAAAGCAGGAAGGGTATTTTGTTAGTGCAGGGACGAAGTTTTAAAACCTACAAACACACACACACGCGCTTAGACTTCTAGACAAAGGGCCTTCCTAATACTTTATATAAACGAGAAATTAATTGGCTCTCAGCCTTGTTTACTACCTAATCCAAACTGTATTTACATCATTAGACAAACAAACAGAGGAATTGTGGAGGGTTAAATGTCTGCTTAATATATACTTTTTCTGCCTCTCTTTCCTAGATGGACATTCAGCAGGTGGTGCTGTATTGTGACCCCTCCCTCGCCCTTCAGGAGGCCTGCTGTGAGATTCCTGGAGCACGGGTGAGACTGGCAACCCTAACTCATGATAAAGAAGCAATGGATTCGTGTCGAGTCGAGAGTATAACATATGCTCTATTTCCTGCATCATCAGTAGGCTACTAACAGTAATAACAGTGCTGTTAAACCTGGAATTTAATAGGAAACCTTTTTGAGAATTAATTTGGGGGATGTTTTTTAATTTAGGAACGATTTATACAAGTAGGTTTATCTTGAAGAGTAAAAAGTCAAGCTTGTATATAATATAAATGAAATCCATTTCAATCTGAAAATGTAGGCCCTTTTCCAGCCCAAACTATTGGTCTAACCCCAGTGTTTACACATGGTTAAGGTGGGATATGAGCGTGGTGCAACATCATCAGTAGAAAATATTTTGCTGTGGCTTTAAAAGAGTTTCTTTATAGGTTTAAAGGCTTACACAAATCTTAGCTTCAGGCAACAGGAGCCTGCCACTCTGTTTGGATACATCTGAAACAACTTCTTCCCTCAGTGAAGCCTAATCTAGTTATGATCTAGTTGCTGGAGGGTTTCTGTGCAACAGCTGCTGCAAAAAGCTGAGTGTGAGTTTTTAAAATGAATCATAAACAATCATAAAATAAACTTTGAATTTGCTCTGGAGGTTTATTCTTTCTAATCAGCAAAATGTTGTCTTCATAATGCTTTAAGTTCAATTGTTTTCCTATAACTAATTTTAGTTATCAAATTTTTTGATATGCAGGGAGAGCCCATTTATGGTTACCACCATTTTTTGAATTAGGTTTCCACCAAAGCTGCCTTTTGTTTGTTAATAATATATTCTCTGAGGCTTTGTTTTACTGAGAGTATTAGGAATACACATTGGCTGGGGCTTAGAGTAATTCCATTGTGTGCAATTATGTCACATCAACTGCTAATATGTTTGTACTCCAAAAGTGTGACCAAAGCCTAATTATAAGTATGACTTGCTCTCTTCTCGATCCACCAATATAAAATGTTCTACCTGTTTCTCTATGTATTTTCTTTGTATTTGTCTTTGTTTTCCCTATCTTCATTTTCTCTTGATGTGTATTTTTGTGCAGTTATTGTTTGCAGGCTTCAGAGAACTAGAAAAGTGATTAATTGGACCACAATACAGCATTTTTCTGTTAGACAGACAGAAACAGAGCATGTGATTGTGCAGGTATGGAAAGAATAGCAAACAGCCAGTTATTGGGATTTATTTTTAAGCTGGAGGTATTTTTGTGCTCAGCCAACTTTTTGTCAGAATTCTCCAGGGCGTCTGTGCTTGCGTGTTTGTCTGCACCCGTTCGTGTCTTATTTATTACCAAATGAATTTTTCAGAGGGATACAAAAAGGGTGAGATGTTCCCAAAGAAGTTCGAAACTGTAGTCTTACGGAAGAAGAACTGAATGCTGAAGAATTTTTGATAAGATGTTTTAACGAAGGAAATCTTTTCCAAGCTGTGTTTAAGTTTGAAAATGAAAAATGGAAGAGCATGGATGCATAATATTAAGGCACTCAGCCGCATGCTCACACCCCCATGAAGTTTGTAGCGTCTTGTATCACAAAGGAAAGAGATACAAGTGCTGGGTTTTAATTGCATTGACTTCATGGGCTTGCTGCTACATTGCATAGCATAGCATAGATAAGATGGTACACAGGTGTGCCATTTGGTTCTATTAAACATACAGTAGGTGCAGATGGGATAATTGTGAATTCTGTTTATGTTATGTGCTTAGATAAAAACATGTACTTAAAATAATTGTTGAATAATATTGCCCGTTTGTCTATAATTGTGGTTCCATAAGCAGTAGCTGTTTTCTTGTGATATATATTCTATAATGCTGTAAAAACATCCTCTGCCAACAAATGTATGAACTGAAGTTTCTCGCCAAAAACTACAAGTTACAAGACTGCATTGAACACATCATGATGAGGCCTACAGATGTTTACGTAATAGAGCGTAAATGCACCATAGGAGCTCTGTTCACCAGATGCTAACAGCTAATGTAAGCTAGCTTTCCTGACGATTTTAAAACACATGTGGTGTCTCACAATGGAATATTATCAGTATAACAATAGGGTGTGCTCCGTTGACGCGTGTTTGGGGGGTTAATGCGTCCCAAATACATTTTCTATCATCCCCGGAAAGAGTTGAGAAACCGTTAGTGTCGAACCCAAACGGTAACGGATAACACAGCCAAACAGCACCCGTGCCCGTGGTAACTGGCAGAAATGTAATTAACACAACAATGCTAGTACCCTAATGTGCGCAACTCTTGAGAATCAGAATCAGAATACCTTTATTAGTCCCACAGAGGGGACATTTGCAGCGTTACAGCAGGAAAGAGCCACAGACAGCTTAGTGTTGCATATCTTACATGCGTTAAAAAAAGTACTAAGTTATAATATAATAAACAAACAACACAACAATATGCTAAAAAAAGTACTAAGTTATAATATAATAAACAATATGCTAAAAAAAGATAAAAAGTTACATAATTTTCAAAAATACAGATCAAAAACAAATCAAATCTAAAAATAAAATCCTGTAGCAGTTCTTAGGATTTAGCAGCCCGGT